GATGATGGATTTGGTGAAGATGTTTCTAGACTTAGAGTAGGACTACAAATATAACAATCATGTTTGTCATAATCTTTTAATTCTATGATTTTCCTGTTTAATAATATTCTCAAACCAAATAGTTAATTATTTTTAATTATGTCAAAATAATTTTTTGCCGCAAAAACATTTCATCAAGTATCATTTAATCATGACGTCATCAATTACTCATTTTTGGCATTATCATTCTATTTTATTTTATTTTATTGGATAAAATCATGTAAAAGGTCATGTTATTTGTAATACTTCAAGAAGTATAAATATGCTTGAAATCTCTCCTTCCGTGAAAAAATTAATCAATAATTGGGGTCTGGACAATAGAAACGGACCATGTTGTGAAAATGATGTTTTGAGAAAATTTAAAAAAAAGATCTGCATTTCAAGTAATTTACTATTGTTTTTAAAACTTTAATGGAGGGTATCTCAAAGTTTTATTAAGCAAAGTGGGTATGGTTTCTAAGCCAAAAAAGTTCTACATGAGGAATTACATATAATAGTGATACTAACTCAAAATTACTTTTTTCACAACATGGTCCGTTTCTATTGTCCACACCCCATATTTGAACTGGTATGTAAGAAAACAGAAAAATACTCAGAATATATTACTAAAAATGGCTAGTGAGTTGCCTTTTTGGGACTTTTTTTTTTAAAACCCAATTTTTATTATGTAAATACTTGAAGATCACTACCCACTTTTCTCAATACAAGTTCAATTATAATTGTCCGAGGTCCTAGCCCAATCATATATTTTCAATTTCTGATCACATGACTATGCAATACGTGTAACATGTACGCGTAATCCGTGCAACCTAATAATGGTTTAAGCTACACCTAATTAAGAAAAGAAAACCTCAATGGTCCAAAATTTGCATAACCATATTTTTTTCACAAAGTTTTGCCAGTAGTGTGATATTTTAGATACCAATTTTATACCAATGGAAGATAAAGACCAATACCATCACTACATTCCAAGGTTTCTTTTGCGTAATTTTGCTATTGACAATTGTGAGAGGGTATTTGCGAGCAGTAATAATTTACTCAGAAAGCAGCTCTTTTTGCAGAAGAAAAAGAGAACGGAGCTTCTCCAAACTTACGACAGAACAAAAAATCAACTGGGCGTCTCTTTAATTGCAAAAACATATGGATACGAAAACATGTACAAAGATTTTAACCATGAAGATGCGATGCACGTGGAAGAAAAACTAGCAAAACTTGAGGGACAAGCATCAAAAATGATCCGAGATATTCTGAAGGCATCCCAAGTAGAAAATCAGATTGTTTTACTCAGAAGAGATCTCAGTAATCTACGCAAGTTCCTTTTCATTATGAACTATCGAAACCCTCAACGATGGTCTCAGTTTACCATGAAGAAATTTGACTTCGCCACTTTGCAGTTGGTAGAAGACTTCATGCGGCAGCACAAATTACAACACACTCGGGAAGTGTGGTTACAGAACATCCGTGAAATACTAGATACCCCACATGAAGACATCAAAAACAACTCGCGAATCTTTTTTATAGATAGAGACGATTACAGGCAGCGCATGATCGATGGTTTTCTCGTAATTTGGCAAGCTGGTGAAAATGACGAGTTTATTATAACCAGCAACGGGTTTGGAATCTTCGAGGGAGTGACTGGGACAATGGTTGGTGGTTTACCATTCCAATTTGCCTACCATTATTTTTATGTCATCTCTCCAAAGCTAGCGTTGGTCCTCTGTCATACTTCGCTCCGAAATGAAAGAAAAGAAATTGGATCCGACGTTTGGACTGAGACTTTTAAGACTATGGGTTTTAAACGTTCGATACTCGAAAATGCTCCTCATCCAGCAGCAATTCCGAATTATGTAGCGACTCCAAAATATGTACCAAGTCATGAATATGGCCGCAGCACTGATAGAAATCCAGAGACGGCATTTGACTCGCTTCTAAATAGCGTAGGTCTCAAAAGACAGGAGGATGATATGTTTACCTTTCGCTTTGCCAAAATCCCTTCGGCTACCGTACACCTCGTGAATTCTATATTGCTCAATGAGACTAAACCGGATCTAGTTTTGACTTTCTCTTCTCGTCCATACCTCTATAAGACAATTCTCAAGTATCATAAAAGCAATGTCGGTGTACAACATGATTTCTCGAGTTTGAAAAAAATGTTGTTTATGGAATTAAACAAAACTCACGAGGAAGACTTACATCTCCGGAAAAAAATCCCAGCTGGCCGCACTTTTAATTGGAATGTACGTGGAATGGATTCAGAATCCTGATCAATGTCAGGAGGATGTTACATATATCGCTCTTGTTTTCTTTTATTTTATTCATATTTGGGCCCATGTTGGCGCACAACGGCTTATGAGGACCTCTTCAATTACAACATTTTTCTATTTCATATATTAGTAGACTATATAGTATGGAGTATCTTTAATACTTATTTTCTTAGTTGGTTTCATGCATAAATATCTCCTACCGGATTCAAACCGGATTATTATTATTATTACTATATTAATATTATAAAACAATTAAAGACTAGTGCCGTAAATTATGATGATGGTAGTAATTGTATTTACGGCATATAAAAAGTGGTTGCAATTACCTTTGCGACCACTTTTGCAACCATCCTTTTTCCTTTTTTGGATTACGGCACTAGTCTTTACTACATATGAAGCAATATTAACTCAAAATTTCTTTTTTTTTTGGAGGTATGGTTCGTTTCTATTGTAAAGCCCATTGAATATGCAAATTAACATGGAACAGAATACGGATCACCTAAATGTTAAAATAGAGATTTCTTTTTAATGTTCATTTATCTGAAAAATTAAAATAACAAATAATATCCAATGACCATTACCTTGACAAATATCACCAAGTTAATAAAATTGTTTGATTACCTACTTTATCCAACGTATTATCATAAATTGAATACTTGAAGTAATTATACCTGACCGTGTGAGCGGGATATTATTTCGTCAAATCGTTGTTGATTTTGTTACGTTTAGCGAAATGTGTACCATACTAATGCGGTTGTCGGGTTTTGTCGGATGTAACATTATTATTATCCAATCAAAATTTTGAATTTCTAAAGATAGTTTCTTGTTACAAGACGAACTTTCAATTCAAAATTTTTAGAGTTGTTATTGTGTTGGCCTTTAAAAAAAGACCAACACCCTAATTTAATTTTTCAAAATTTGGTAATTAAATTTAGATAATTCATAACTCGGGCCATAATATTCGTCAACTTTTTTCGCATTTTGGCGGTAAATTTTGTCAGTTGACTAAATGTCGATCATTAATCTAAAAAAAAATGGGAATATTTAATATTAATTATAATGTTAAAAAGCTCGGAAATTTATTATTAGTTGTTGTTGTTATTATTATTGTGTTATTATCAAAACAAAATTGGTTACACAAATGGTTTTGATATGTAAATATTTCAAGTTTTGTATCTCATCATTGTCCTATATATATAGGTAAACATGTTCTAAATTTTTCAGCAACTATAATTCCTTATGATGTAGATATATACATTATGCAAAAAACTCACTTTTGGCCAGGAGTTCTCAGACCCCCATATTGCTGGTGGACATCTCATATGTAAAAAAAAATTGAGCGTGAAATGAAAAATAATCATGTACTTCTTACTCAGAATTGCATACAAAAAGACCAGAAAAAGAAAATTTACAACTGAATGATGGTAAGAACAAAAATAGTTAAGTGTGCTTTTGAAAAAGTTGGTTTTCTCATCTATCTTTTGATCTCATTTTTAGTTTTCCTTTTTCCTATTGAAAATAATAGTTGTACGGCATAAATGCTTGCATTTGCCACATTTGTGTCCGTTATGTAGTTTAACATTTTCTCCTTACGTTATATAGTTTAGATATTATTATTATTATTGCAAAAAGCCATAACAATTGACAAAGGGCCAACGTTAAAAACTCATAACCGGTTAACCCAACTGATGATAATAATAAAATAATAATACACAGTAAGTCTCGGTATAGCGGACCTCGGTATAGCGGATGTCTAATAAAACTCTCGGTTTAACGGATCAAAGCTCAGAACCGTCTATAAGTAAATTCTCTCGGTTTAACGGATTTACTAATTAAATCTTGAATTAATCTCGGTGTAACGGATTTTTGAAATATTGTTCTAATTGCCCAAATTATCCGCTATACAGAGACTCACTGTGTAATTTTGAATTAACCGGTTAACCGTGGAATAATCAACTAATACTAACTCCATTACTATTTTTTTGTCATTTATTATCGTTTTTGGTTGATAAATTAGTATGAAAATTGACAATGTCCAAATTTAAAGGAGTTGTAGGAAAATTAATGATTGATGCACCTATTACAACCTAAAAGTGGATAGTCAGAATGTATTGATCGTGATGCTAAACTTAATTTATTAAATATCTAATAATAATGACTCATGCATGTTACACATTGTTGGAAATTGTGACATATTCCGGTAGTGCTTGGCTATGTGAAATATCCTAAAAAGCCTTCATTGAAAACGGATTCATAGAATGATAAAATGATAAATATGATAGATTTTTGCTTGTATCATTTAAAGATTTTTATCCAATTATTAAGTTAAACATTTTGTGTGTGTAACAATCCATTGGCCATTCAACCTAATAATAATATAAATATTCAAAGTTTCTTTGTAATACTACCTATTTTAGGTTTTAAATTTGAGTTTTCTAAGGGAAGAACTTGAATACTTCCGGTAAACCAATCAAATTTGTAATATTACTTAGAAATGGGGGGCTTAATGGGAAAGAAGGCTTCTAAAAATAATAATAAATTTATTTATATACCTTTTACTGTTACACTTATTATTTATTCTATTTTATTCTGTTTATTTTATATATTACTCCATTTACTGAAAGGGTTTTAAAAAACACGCATAACTTTTTTCATTTTTTTCTCTACTGCTATAAAAAAATTATAAATAAAGAAAAAATGGAGCATTATTCGGTAAGTGTTAAATGAATATTTAGTAAAAATTTAGTACTGTACCAAAGATCATATACAATATTGTTGATTCTTAATTATTATTAAACATTATAGCGTGATAGTTATTATAATAATAACGATCTAAATAATAATCCACAACAAATTCAATTTCAACAAAAAAAAATTCAAAGAAATCAATATAAAAAAAAAAGTTTATATGAATATATTAAACCACTCCAGGATCAACAGAAAAAAAATTCTCAGCGTTTTTCACATTCTCCTTTAAATGCTTCTGCACCAACATCACATTCCACTTCCCCAATCTCTGACTACGAAAGACGTGTAATAAAAGATCATATAAGGCCCGATGTCTCTGATTCAAATGCACTCCCTCCAATAGTTAATTATTCCAATAATGATGATGACGATGATAACAATGGTTCATATTTTAACAATGTTAATTATAATAACGATCCGTCTGGTACATTCAATTATGATAACCCATCACAAAATTTAGGAAAATATGGTTCCAAGTATTTTAACAATAACGAAGATAATATGAATTATGAGAATTCTCAACCTGCTGTTACTACTGCTACCTATTCTCATGTTCCTAATCATAAAGTTCGACACTCTCATAGTTCAGATATTACTTTTGACAAATTATATGTTAATAATGTAGTCGCAGAAACATCACCTAAAGTTCCTTCAAGGCCAATTATTAAACAAAATAAATCCGACAGTCCTCTACCACCTCTACCATCACCATCCATTAAAAAACAAAATGGTATTACCTCTAGATCAATAGATAATAATGGCATTAGTAATATTAATGTTAATAAACAATTAGATAAAAATACTACTAATGGTAATATTAATACAACTGCAACCGCAACCGCAACTATTAATAATAATAATAATCGCCAATCTATCATTTCTCCTTTGGATTCAGAAGATTTTTCAAATCATTCAAGTTCTTCTTCTTCTTCAATAAATGTATCAGGTAAAGATACTAAAACATCGTCACCAACTACCAAGCATTATCAACTAAAGAAATCAAGTCAAGTTTTTAACATTAAAACAAGTGCTTCTCCTGATGTCACCCCTCCTCAACCAAATAACCAACAACCAATTCCACAACCACTTAATTATCAACAACAACGACCATTGCACTTCTCACCACCACAACAATCACAACAATCACAACAATCACAACAACCAGCATATACACAAACTCAACATTTGCCACCACAACTTCCACCACCACAACAACCTCTTCCTCCACTACCGCCGTCAAAGAATCAAGATAAAGAGCCCCAAGCTAGACTACAAAAATATTCTGAAAACATTTTTACTTATACTGATAAACAATCACAACAAATGCCACAATCAATATCACCGCCACAACCACAACAATCATCACAAAATACAAACAATGCTTTGTTAAATAACAATAAATCTGCCTACACAGAGGATCTACAAGATCATTCTACAAATTTAGATACTTTCTCAAATTCTAATACAGTTGCATTAGAAAAAATTGATGAACACTCTGACGATATACCACTTGAGATCAAGAAAAAAAATAATGATGGTGATGGTGATATTTTACCAATTAATGAGTTACCTATTACGTTGGGAAAAACTTTTACTCCTCATATAATATTTAGAGACGATGATGTTCCTGGTCCAAAGGTTCATACACCACCTTCTAATAGTACATCTAATTTTAACTATAATTATAATATACGACAGAGTAACGATAATAGTACAGCAGCTTATCAAGGTTTTTCAAATGACAATTACATTCAACAAAATAATGGTATAGGTTCGAATTACATCAATAACTCTAATTATCAATATCATCCTCAAAAAAGATTATCATCGTCACCGTCTGTATCGATTAATAATCAAAATCAACAATATCATTATCAACAGCAACAAAATGGAGTTTCAAGTTCACCCGACAATCGAAAAATTCAGGATGAACCAAATAATGAAGTAGTTGATCAATTAAATGAACTTGGCATCTCTAATGATGATAATAAGGATACCATCGCCACAATTATATCTAATAACAATAATATTAATTCATCTGAAAATCAACCTCAAAATTTATACCTATCTCCTACTAACAATCAAACAGATAACTCACAACTAGTTGGAATCAATAACAATAACAACAATAATATTTACAATCCAACGTTACAACAACAACAACAACAACAATATTATCAAAATCAACAGCAATTACCAGGAGGATATAATGGTGAAACTTATTTCGATACAAATAATCGAATGAGTTCAAACATTGATAATTATAAAAAAACAAATAAAAATAATTATTATGATGCTAACAACAACAAAAACAATGCACATATGAATTATACAAATAATCCAAATATTGCAGCTGATGCAAAACATGTTAGCTCCGGTATGAAACCTGTAAGCCTTGATAGTAGTAGTAGTAATAATAATAATAACAGAATAGGAAAAGACAGAAGACAATCCGTTCCACCTCCAACAACAAGCAAAAGATTTTCAAGTATATTCAAAAAATCTAAAGAACAACATCCAAAGTATAAGGAGGCAACTTTAAGTTTACAAAATAGTCAATACCAGTATGCCATTAGATTATACTCGGAAATATTGACCCAAATTCCTAATAGTTATTCATTGAAATGCGATAGAGCATTTGCTTACCTAAATGCTGATGAATTGGCGCTTGCACTTCGTGATTTGAACGATGCAATAACAAAAAAACCAAAGAAACCTCGTGCTTGGGCAATTCGTGGTGAAGTTTTTCGTCTACAAATCAAATATGAAGATGCTTTAGCTGATTTGAATAGATGCCTTAGAATCCAACCAAACAACACTCGTGCATTAATTTCTCGCTCGCAAGTCTATAGTGCTATGCAACGTTTTAAAGATGCGTTAGATGATTTGAATACTGCGTTACTATTAGAATCAACTAATATCTACACATTGACTCGTAGAGCAAAAATTTATGCACAAATGCATGAATATGAAGTGGCATTACAAGATTTGAACAAAGCATTAGAAATGGATCCTAAACAAGCCTCAACCACCAGAGCCATTAGAAGTGATATTTATAAAAGCCTTGGACATTATGAACTTGCATTTGCAGATTTGGATGCTGCATTAAGTAACGAGGATAATTTATTAGCGCTTGAGAAAAGAGGTGTCTTGTATAGAGAGGTTGGTAAAGAAAATGAGGCGTTGAAAGATTTTAATAGAATTTTACAAATTTTCCCAAGGAATTTCCTTGCGCATAAAAACAAAGCGGAAATTTTACATTTGCTTGGACGTGAACACGAAGCCTTGGATCATTTATTTATAGCATTACAATTACAGCCTATGAATTTAGAATTGATTATTAAACGTAGTGAAATAAATGAGAAATTGGGGCAGTATGATAAGAGTTTAGAAGATTTAAACAACGCAATAAACATGTCAAAAAATGATATAAATTTATATAAAAGGCGTGGTGAGATGTACCGACTTACAAAACAATTTGATAAATCGATAATTGATTTTAATAAAGTTTTAGAGTTTGATCCAAACAATGTATTTGCATTAGCAAGAAGAGGTGAAGTCTATAGAATGTTAGGACGTGGACCAAAAGCACTAACTGATTTGGATTTGGCATTGTCAATTGATCCTAATAATGTAATGGCAAGAGAAAGTCGTGGAGCAGTTAACAGAAATTTTAGAAGATACGAAGAGGCGTTGAGAGATTTGGACGAGGCGATTAAACTTTATGGTGAGAATACGCCTAGTGTATTTGCACTAACTAATCGTGGGGCAGTGTATCATATGTTAAAGAGATATAACGAGGCATTGTTTGATTTGAATAAAGTGTTGGAGTGTGATCCTGAATACGTTTTTGCATTGGAGACTAGGGGTGCGTTGAATATTATATTGGAGAAATATGATGATTCGTTGAAGGATTTGAATAAATGCTTGGTAATAGATTCAAGAAATGTTTGGGCATTATCGTATAGGGCTGAAGCCCTAATTAATCTGGGTAGATATAATGAAGCCTTGAATGATTTAAATCCAGTGTTGGAAGAATCTCCAGATTGGGGATATCCACTGGCACTTAGAGGAACGGTACATAGGCTATTAAAATCACATACAAAATCATTACATGATTTAGATAGAGCATTGAAAAACATTCACGACAGAGCATTTAATATTGATTATGAGACAAAAGCGTTAAGTAATAGAGGGGCGACTTATTCAGTATTGGGAAAATATGATGAAGCGCTAATAGACCTAAATAAAGTATTGTTACGTGAGCCACAAAATATATTTGCATTAACGGAAAGATCCAATATATATGTGATTCAGGGTAAAGTGGAGGAAGCAACTTTGGATTTACAAAAAATTTTAAAGGTTGATAATAAAAATGAATACGCACAAAAGACATTAAAAAAAATAGAAAAAAATGACATTTCTAGTGGCAGTCCTGCTTTTGGAAATCCTGGCAGTGGTGTTGGAGATAACACTAATGTTAATGTTGGCAGGAACAATACTTATAATAAATATAATGATATTAGAAACAGCAGAAACAGTATTAATAATATTAGTAATGGTAGTGCTGGCAGTGAATACAGTTATAGAAGCTGATGATGATAAAGAAAAAGATTAGCCGAGGAAATAATTAAATAATTAGATGATAATGGTAATAATTTTAGAAAATCATTAAAACTCATATTATTATCTTCCTCGCTTAGAGTATCGGTTTTGTGTCAATGCTGTTTTTAAAAAATTCCTTTTTTTATTAGACATTTAAATATTTTCTTTATTTGTAAATTTAAACTATTTATTATTTATTATATTATTTTTTTTTATTTAAATAAATATATGTATGCATTAGGATTGATTGACAATTATCTCTGTGAATTTTTACAAACTGCATGATTTAAGAGTACCAAAATATTTGCATGCACTCTGGTTGTATTTTTTAATACTCTTTACGTCATTTACCTCTTGCATGTATGTACAATGATCATTGTGAAGCAGTTCGTCTAATCTATTATTATCGTGTATGAAGTAATTGGTTTTTCATTGTTTGGTGATAACACGTGGGTGATTGATCAAGTAGCGTTTTAGTAAAAAAAGGCTTTTCTAAACAGAAGGAAATACCCGAACTACGACACTTGACACTTCAGATTCTGATCTAAATGCACATATATATATACTAATTAATATATATATAGAAATAATAATGATGATAATAATAATTATAATAATAAAAGGCAATAATCATAACAGCAACTGCGTGACCTGTCTGTGTAATTATTGTTTCAGGAACACCACATCATCCCGATTTCCTTGTAAAATAATAATATAGAATTGGTTATTCTGTGAGTGTGTACACCAACCAGCCAAGACAACAACGATCCCGTTGCAAAAAATAGACTTCCTTGAACTTTGTAATTTAAAACATCATCGAAAGGATCCAAATGATCTATATTGATTATTCCAATCTGGAAAGGTAGTAAACAGATCCAACTATATCGCAAGTCCAGCAACAAAACATTCACGAATAGCAGTGAACCAGGATACGAAAAGGATAATTAATCATGGCTAGGTTTTTAGGCAAAAGATTTCTAATAAATATCCTTTGTTTTACAAAAAGAGAAATCCATTTTTGAAACATTTTTGAAACATTTTTTTAAAAACAGGTTTTTTCAGAACCTTTTTGTTTTAAAAAAATCACATTTTATGAATGAATGTTTGTATATGGATTTTATTATTATGTATAAATCTACTCTATATTACATTAAATTAGGATTTTTTTTTTAGAAAAAATTATTTAATGAATGGTAAAATATTATAAATAACATTTGTAAAAATAAAAAGAAAAATAATAAAATTAAATCAAAAAAATAAAAAAACTATATATAGAAAAATCAATCATTTTCATCATTCGTTGACAATCCTTTTAGATGGTTTGTTGTAGAAATAATATCTAAATCGAATTCACCGTATTTAGTTAAAGCTTCAAGTTTTGGTTTATCGTGTCTTACATTTTTATTATCATCTTCATCTTCAGTAATAATGATTTGGACGGCATTATTATCATTTTCTGATTTAGGTATCCATCGAGCTCGAGTAACAGCACAATATTCAGCATTTTTCCAATTTGAAGTTTTAGCACATGCTTCTTGAATCACATTAAAACACCAACCATGAGTCACAATAATCAAAACAATATCTTTATCTTTGTTATTATTTAATGATATATCTTTAACATAAGGTTCAAGAATATGTTCCATGGACGAGGTACACCTTGTTAATACATCTTGTATTCCCTCGGGATATTTTGGTAATTCGGAAGAAACTGGTTTATAACTCCAATCGACTTCAAATGATTTTTGTTCTTTTTGTTCTTCATTTTTAAATGATTGGTGTAATTCGTCAAATCGTAAGGTAACGATACTATTAGGTACAGGATTTGAGAAATAAATACTTGTATGCCATTCGGATAATGAAGGATCTATGCATAATTTAATATCAAAAGGTCTTTTAATATTTTCAGCGGCATCAGATTTTTTAGAACCGGCTGCTATTCCTTCTGCTATACCAATCGCGGTGTCGGTTGTTCTTAGGAAAGGGCTTGTGATTATTATGTATTCCAATTTATTATTTTGATTTTCCACATTTTCAAGTTGTAAATCGTGAATGTATGAGCCTGATTTATTGGCTTGTTTTTTGCCTATATCGGTAAGGGGTGGGTCGTAAGGTGAAGGAGAGGTGTAAGCAAAAGTAGGATCAACTTGATCAAGCCTTTCTCCATGTCGAACAATGTATAATGTTAAAGACATTTTTTTTAAAACCTTTATTATATATTACTGACGATGGTTGTTGTAGTTGATAAATGATGGATTTTATAATGATTGAATTCAAGAAGAAAATTTATTTTATTTATAAAGAAATGAGATCGTGTGTGTTACATCATATCATTAATGGTTGTTACACTAATAATAATTTCTAGAAATATAATTAGAATTTCTGCCCCGACTCTATGGAAGGCATTACCAGAATTCTGAAAGAAATTTCTATAACAACAGCATTATACATTATAATGTGCTTATTATATTATATTACGTACAATACGTTAAACACATACATATATATATATAGATAATATATATTTGTAAAGATGTACATATATTATATTTATGGTAAATTTTAATTTAAGTTTTTGTTGTTGTTATAGTGGGGGCTTGATGACATGATATGACGAGAAAGCGTTTTTAAAAAATTTTTTTTGAATAAAATAAAGTATGAGAGATATTTATTTCTTTTGTAGAAAAAAGTTACAAAAAATAAGGATAGACAAAGAGATCCTTTGTGTAATTAATTTTGTTTCATAAATGAAATTTTTTTTATAGGCCCGGAGAAGTAACTCAGTCATATTAAGAAAAATGAATGGTGGTCTCTTTCATATATTGCCATTTTAGAAATATATAAAATAAATAATAGAAATAATAATGTAAAAAATACCACGTTTTTAAACAATAGTAGTATTATTGAAATATATTGTTATTATAAAAATCAAAAAAATATATAAAGGAGCTGAATGTTTTTTGATCATTACAATCCCTTCCAACAATAAATTAAAAATTCAAAAAATTCAAAAATATTCTAATACTTAATATTTTTTATATTTTTTTTTAGTATTAAAAAAATCCTTTATATACACACATACTTCTCCTCCTGCTTAACAACACCACTATCTTGAAAATCACAATAAGATTTTTTAAAGAGTATATAACATAGTATTGTAGAATAACTTTATATATTAAAGATAATACTTGTACAATTATAAGTACAACATTTATACTCTAAAGAAATCTATAAAAGAATTTTCTTATAACAAATCAAAGCTACCCTTTTTTCTTACAATGGATTATAGTAAAATTATGTGCTCAGGACTTAATCCTAATCCTAATAATAATGATGTCAACATCAAAAAGCACAAAAATAAGACTAGCAAAGAAGAACAACGGGTAAAGCACACTTATGAAACGTCAATAGAGGTAAGAGATCATAAAAAGATAGTGGTGTCTATCTGTTCAACGACAAATGGACGTGAACGGTACGAATGCGATATTCCTACCGAGAAAGAGATCGAGAAAGATTATGGGAGCGAAGCAAGAAGATCTAAAGAAGCTATTAGATCCATGAATGATTATTTTATATTTCGTACTTATTTCAGTAAAGTAATCCCCCAGTTCAATAGAAATGAAAAATCTCACATCACCAGTGATATTTGGGCGTCCGCTGATTCAACTGTTAAAGATGAGTTTCGTAAGCTTGAAACTCACTTAAAAAAAAACTTCAATCATAAAAAATTTGTTCCCTATTCTCCTTCGTCAGTAAGTAAAAATGTTAGACCAAAAACAAAAACAAAAACAAAAACACAAAAACCTCCACAAGAGCAACCAAATACTTCCCCTGATTTTCCAATTCCTCGTATTTCTCTTACTTCTCCAAATAAAGCCACTCACACTGATATTTCCATTCCATTACCAGAGCAATCAAATCCTCAACCATCACCACCACTAATTGCAATACAATACGAAGATATGCCATTTAGTGAATATTATGCTCACGAATGTACTCAGGTGCCGGACGATACTGCAATTCCAATACCTAATTCTAATTATCATGCTAACACTACTGCTCATAATAGTTACAGTAATAGTAGTGATTATGGTAACAGCAGTGGATATAGTTCATCAATAAACTATAATAACGGTTCTTCTAGTTCATCCTTTACCAGAAGCCCCAGCTTAGCCGGATCGTTTAATAGCCCAGGAACCAAACTGTTGCCGAACAACTTCTTATTAGGCAACAGCCCAATAATTTATTGTAGTGACACATCACCTTCAGTGACGACACTATCATCAATGTCTTCACCGGTACTAGTTTATAGCCCTGGAAGCCCATTAGTAACTGCTAATCCGGATTCGAATGATTACCCACTATTTGAAACCAACTTTGAATCTTTATCGATTAGCGAACACAACAGCGGATTCAACAACGAATTAAACAATGACGAATTTAACAACAATGGATTCAACAATGACGAGTTTAACAACAACCAACTCAACGATTTTCTTGCGAATCTATCTAACGGATCTAATCACGATTTCGAAAATCTTCTTGATAATAATAATACATCTGAGAACTTAAATTGGATGTTTTGAAATAATTAAATTACAGGAAAGATGAAAAGATAGAAAGATCATTAACTCTCATCAACAAAAAGTTTTTTTTGGGATAGGTAATTAATTGCAGGAGGAGGCTTATTCTAATTATTTATTTTTTATTTATTTATTTTTTATTTTTTTTTATGAGGTAATATTTTATTGTTTTATTATTGTGAAGGGACTTTTTTTTATTTATTTACGAGGTAATATTTTATTGTTTTATTATTGTAAAGGGACTTTTTTTATTATTATTATTATTATAATTTTAATTTAATATTATCACACACACATACAATAACACTATAGAACTTTTAGATTATATCTATTTTTTATTTTTTAAATTTTTTTTTTGTATATATATATTTTTTATTTTGTCTGCCATCATCTCCTTTTAAGGTTTTTTAATATTAATAGATTTTAAGTCAACGTATATATTTATTAATTATGTTTCATTTTCACTTTATTCATTTGTAATTAGTTTTTTTTTTCACACACACTCACTTATACAGATATACATACATATGTACCATTATATTGCATTTAAGGTTTTTTAAATAAATAATAATAATAATATGGTATTAAACAAAGAAATCGACAATGTATAAAATGAATTAAAAAGACTTGCAAAATCAATTAAATCATGAATGTCAACGAATTTTGATAAGAATCAATTAGATCGATCGCTGTCATTATTCATACTAATTCTCTCGCACATACCATACACTTAAAATACGTGTATATAAAAGGTTTTTTTTGAATCCAAGTAATCGGTTGAATGGACTTCTGATTACTAAATCAGCAACAAAACAATAATGTTTATAATGTTTTTTACTTTTTTTAATTGAACGAACCATAATCATTTCCGAATAATAATGATAACGATAACCGGCGGAATCGTGAAAACTAATAATGATATTAATAAATGATGTAATGATTTAAACAGAAATTTATGCGCCAACACTCGGAATAATTGTTAATCCGAACGACAGAATTATAAAAATTCTTTTCTTCTTCTTCCTCTTCTTCTCTTCTTCTTCTTCTCCTCCTCCTCCTTCTTTTCATCATCAAAATGCCAAGGACTATTAACTCCTTTACACATTTCCTATTAAAGTTACATGGTTACATGCAAGTCCACGCCATTATTCTCAAAATCAAAAATAAAAGAATATTCCCAAGAAATTGTAAACAATAATAATAGGATATGCCGTGTGAATTAATTGTTACCGTCATACTATACTATTAATAATGAATCTTATCGATAATGATGAGAATAAAAGCGGTTGGTGTATGAATCATTCTGGAGTACAGGGTCCTTTTACAATTAACGAAAAAGTATCCAACCCGTCGCTTACAGCTCTTCCGAATAATAGTAATAATAATAATAACAATAGTAATAATGACAACAACAACAACAACAACAACAACAACAACAACAACAACAACAACAACAATGCTGTTGTTGCTGCACGGATAGTTCTTTGGATGTGTCTAAAGGAATTGTATTCCTTAATCAATTACTAAAAATAAGATGGTCGGATGTTTTCGGTTAGTATTTTTACTAATTCTATAATTATTCATAAAATTTTTTTAGTAATGATTGAATGAACTGATTAAAGTTAGGAATGGAATTCCTTCTCCGTCGTAAAAAATTTATTTTAATTCGATACTTTTTTAAATTACTTTCTATATAAAGACAATTGCGAATTTTTGTTGTTATTAATATCAAAGCATTATTATCATTACTAAATAAGTGTTTATTCAAAGGAATAAAAACGACCAATTCCCTATGGTGGGTGGTACTAACGTAATTTTATCAGCAGAGAAATTATGATTGGTTGAAATCCTTCATTATTCACTGAAATAAAATCTCGGAATTATTTTTTTTTTATTCACATATTATATTTATTATATTATTTTATTTTATTTTATTTTATTTAATATATTACTTCTTAAAATAAAGCAATTAACATTAAGTAACCAAATTTATCTTTTTATTTGTTTGACGGAAGATGCCAAAACACATATATAATAAATTCTCTCTCTCTCTTTAAAATTAAAAAACTTTTTTGTTTTCACTCTTAATAAAAAATTTTTTTTATTTTTCTTTATTAATCTTGAGGCTTCTTGTTTTTTAAGGTTTCAATGTATACTTATACACAAAAATGTGAAGATAATTTTGAGCAATTATCATCACGATCATTCTCTTCCCTAGAATCCTCTTCGTCATCCTCTTCCTTGCCATTATTTTTAATTCCTTCTTTATCGCATGAATTGTCTCCTCCTCGTATTATCATCAGGGACGATAAAGTTTCATTTTTAATAAACAATAATCTTGTCCCTTTTGATAGAAGAAAGATGCTAGAAATAAGAAAGCTTTCAAATCCACAATGCAGTAATTGGATATTTACTTCATTGATGGCACCATCTTTATCATCAATTTTTATTAGAAATAAAGTAATTGATGAACACACAAAGATGGCCGTCGAAAAATTGTTGAATATTTCTTGGGAAATTGCTGACGACCATTTCAAAAACTTTTTCAAGAATTACATTGTAAAACAAAAACCTTGTTTGATTGCTTTCGACAACGACAATAACGGTAGCATCGTCACTGGTGGCGTTAATTTTGCCGCTGTACTGATAGCTTATGTTCCCATTTTAGAAATCTTTTTTACAATTCCAACTGTAGAAGAGTATGTTTCAAATCTACCGCCCATAAAACTAAAATCTGGCAATAATTTTATAATTTTTAGAGGCTTGGCACATAAAAGTTTATTGAAATATGAGAAACATGATAGTGAAATGGAAAGAAGTCTTAAAACTATTAGTGGGATGTTTAAAGATATCTGGAGACATTCTGATCATGTTTTCCAAGAATATTTCATGAATTTTTTCATCAGTGTAAAAAAAATTAGGCCAAGGAATCATGTGTGGGTCGAGTGTAGTCATGATAATAAACGCAGGAGAGGCGGTAAACTACAAAATAAAAATGCAAAAAAATCTAAAAAAGAAGAAAAAGAAAAATTGGAATTAGATGATAATGAAACACAATGTGCTTATCATCCAGGAGTTCCTAAAAACTATGATGATTATAACGACACTTTAATAATCTATAATTACTACTACCACCGATGTGGATGTAGACGTGACCAATAATTTTTTTCGTTTTTTTTTCTCTGGCAATAATCAAATAATTCGATTTCATTCGTTATTGGAATTGGCAAACGAGCGAAAAATATATCCCGTTTTTTTTATATCGATTTTTTTTTTTATAGAGTAGATTATAGATATTAGATTCTTTATTTATATATATATACACTTTAATAATTGAAAAAAAAATGAATAATAAAATATGATAATAAAAATATATTTCATCAAGATATATAAATTGTGTGCCAATGAATCTATTCCTCTGATCGATTTGTTACCCCAAATCATCTTTTTCTTTTTCATGCTTATATGGATGGTATGGATAATTAAAGAATTTCAAACTTATATCATGAAGAAGGACATTCAGAAAGATTCAGACAAAGAATATGATAGATAATATAAGGGCCTCTCTATTTTTTTTCTTTTTTTTTTTAGTAATGCTCCTTTACCCAAGTTCACAAATTTCTCATTAACATTTTGGAAATTTACGGTTCTCGTCCGTTAAACGTTCCTTCTTTTCATCTTTACGAATCAGTGAATTAAAGTTCACGTCATTCAATCTTTATTATGGCTGACTATCATTGGCCAATTTCAATTTATTACATAAATGTGATCAACTATTTATTTATTTGAATTTTGTTTACACTATTATGTGTAACTATTTAATAAAATAAAATTTAAAATTTATTAATTTCATTCAATATGATGATGATGTTGTTGTTGTTGTTGTTCAAATACACCACCATCACCACCACCACCATTATTATTTAAAGCTCTAACAATGACAGCTTCAACAATCCTGTCACCTAATAGCCAAATCAAACCAGCAACAATTCTAGAATCTAAACCAACATAATATGTGTTCTTTGGATATGGCGAAGATAACGCGTGTATGATGGCATCAGTCACGACAAAAGGTGGAATAGCATTTGACACAAAATCACCTGATAATTTAGCAATCATCCTATTGGCATTCTCGTATATTGAAAGCTCATTTGATGTCATATCATGTTTTGGATCGAAATATTTTGAATTGATTTCTGACGATGATGGTGACGATGATAACGAATTGAAATCTGTAAAATCCTTCCAAATAGATGCTTGTCGTTCGGTTAAACGTGTAAAAACAGCACCTAAGTATAAATATAAATAATAATAATAATAATAATAATAATAATAATTAGAAAAATCAAAAAATCTAGTAAATAAACAGATAAATAAAAATCTATTCATTACTTATTATTATTATTACCAGGTTCAATTAATGAGAAATTCACACCCAATGGACGACATTCCATTCTCCAAATACTTGTTAAAGACCTGATAGCAGCTTTTGAAGCAGAATACATTCCCATCGTAGGTGAACCACTCCAAGAAGCCATGCTACCAAGCTGTTATGTTTGTGTATGATTTAAAATTTTATTGTGCTAATTTAGGATGCGACAATAATAAATATTTTCTCAGAAATCTGGCACTTTATTTCAT